ACTCTTCCATGAAGACTGCATAAGCGTCTACACATTTATCGGCTTCGCCCGAGAAGTGGCTTCAAATTGGCTAACATTGCAGACGTTAACTGTATTGTTAAAGGTCAATGTCATTGAAGGAATTGCTTTGAAACAACAAAATAAACGACGACCGTATATTGTATCAAAAATTCTATCTCAAGATACGTGTTCCGTCCGCTGAGAGCGGCGCCGCCTCGTACCCGGTGTTGCCCCCTTGCGATCATGATACTACCCAGCGTCCTGTTTTCTTTGTCAGACCGCTCTAATAGATATGTGATAGCTGACAATTGGTCTTACCGGATATTTACCAATCAGTTATCTCCAATTTAATAACACTGCATGGATAGATACGCCTACCGGCTTATTTCTCCTGTGGAGTAATCTCTTTTCATTCACGACCGATTGGTCTCGAATGTAATTTAAACACCGTTACCGCTCGGTGCAAACAGCAGTTATTACGACTATGCGAGTACTAGTCGTTCTTTATCACGTCAGCGAACATCGTTTCCCGAGCCCGCCACTTTTTTCGTTGCCCTCCATGTTTTTTATGGTCTGTGTAGAGATCGTGCCCTTACGAACATTTCTTTCGATTTCGTGTCTTCAATATCGCTGTCCTGGAGCAGCGGTCATTCAGACGGCGCGTGCGCGGCGGTGGCGGCGGCTGCGGGGTCGGCTCCTGCAATCCACATCGACACTCGTTCGCCAGCCGTGCAATGACCAGGCACCGTACCTTCGTGGTATGTTCTCTGGCATCGTTTTTCTTTTGGTACTCGCTCAAGATTTTAATCTTTGTTCTTCCACGCTCCGCGCGCATGCACTTTGTCGTTCCCAGCCCGCCAGCAATTACCATTGCTTACGACAGTTTGGATGTTTGTACAAACGTCAGACCACCATCACAGCGATACGCCGCCATCTTCAAGGGATCTTTTCTTGTCACCGCTGCTCCTGTCTTATGCTCCTTTCAGGTTGCCTGTCTTAATGGACGTCTTCCCGCAACGATTAGACGGACAAACGGATGACCGTGGACAGAAAAAATTAAAAGGAGCCTCAAGCAGCCAAGGGCGCTTATATGGCGGCGCCCATGTCCGTTGATTGCGTTTTTAAAGTGTTTTCGTATGTGATTATAATTGTTGCCACTGGCGCTGCTTCGATAAGTATTGCACGTGCAGTTGGTATGAACGACAGAAATGTACGTTATAAGAACGTAGAAAAAAGAGAAAATTCAGAGTTGAAGACAAATGGAAATAGCGATGTTAATTGGTTCAAGCAAATGCCGAACGTGAGATCGCGTAAGTATGTGTGTCAAGATGAAGCTCACATGAAGGGGTGCAAAAATATCGGAAGCTCTGACGAATGTAAGTTCGGTACCATTAGAACAATTCTATTACTTACTTAATGTTACAGAAACACTGTAAGCAGGTATGTAATTAAAACTAATCGCAAGATGTCTGCGATCCTCGTAATGAACGTGCGGTCCGGTAGCATATCTGCTTTGAGTCGGCCGTCAGAGTTGACATATCTTGATGATGTACAGCTTAATCTAAGTAGTTAGTTAGGGACGAGGTAACGGTACGTAGCACTTGAAGCGTCTAGAGAAATGAAAGTAGGTCGAGAACATTCGGGATGAATAAAAGGCAATAACTTCGGAGTCGAGCAGACTTGTGTAAATGGGACCATAGAAAAAACACAATCGGTAAACCAAGTGGCTAGCGAAACATGGATAGCAGACGCTAGTTAGACGACAAACATCGTTTACTGCGACAGAGGTGAGTGGAACAGACCGAAACAGGACGATATCGTTCGAACGCGCTACGGGAATACTCATAACTTTTCCACGCATCGCACCTCTATGCATAATTAGTATAGCCAAGCAAAGTCATAATAGAGGAACCTATTCATATTTACAGGAACGCATCGGATAAACACACACAAAGTAAAACAGAAATAAGTATTAGAAACAGTATGAATCAACTGCAGGCTTACCTACATTCAAGCTATAGGGGTCACAGTTAGTTTCGATCAGTTATCTGTGCCCACGTTATATCTGTACTCTAACAGTCTCAGTGGTACTATACTTAGCGTATATGACGGAGGGCAATAGCATAAGGCGGGAGCTAACTATGGGCGACACTAGAATAAGTATGATAGTTGCGCCATAGACAGCGTATAGATAGATACCCGCACAAGTTTCGCAGCACCGTTTGTACATGAGAGGCGTACCCCAATCATTTTTTTCACGATATTAGCGTCCGATTAAAGGCGTCACTAATGATCACGTTTGCCTTGCTATAATATCGTATCGCTAATGGCAAAATGGCACATTTCATTTACGGAATACCCCATTTTGAAAGCGATGGCCGCATGGTTAGTTTGAAATGTTGGCCTACGTTTAGGAAAATTGTCAACAATGAGTAGTCGTATCAATTTCAGAAGTCTTTCAAAGGTCACTTTACTACAAATAATATTGTACAATAATAATAACAATCATACATTTCCTATGATTCGTGTCCAACAACAACATGTCCTATGTTGTTGTTACCGTGAATCGAACATTTGAAGTGCTTGTTAAGTTTACCTTTCGACATCTTCATCACTTCGGTGAACATTTTTGACCAATTACAAAGCTTTCTATCACCGACAGTGATGATCAGAGACCTAACTGGGGCAGTGGTAATGATGCTGAAGGCTACGTTGTATAAACTTAACAATAAAGGACAAAGGCCTTTCCGTGGCGCCCTAAACGATTTAGCTATCATCTGCGCAGCGATTGAATAGAGACTATAGTTGTACTACTCGTTGCTTCAAGTCATACAAAGGCGGAATAGACGTAACTCTGATCACTCGGTTGTGATTTGTCAATCCCGCTCGCGTGGCTACGCGTGAAACAGAAAACTCACGCAAAAGTCTCGTTACGTTACCAAGGCAGCATCTAGCACGAGTTTTCGATTAGTTAGACAAGCTGAGAACTGCCTCTTTGTCCTTTTAACCAATTTGGCCGATTTTAGTTGCGCTCTAAACTATATAAATAGGTCAACTATAGGTTTACTTTATCTACTATTACTAGTTACTATAGAATATTTATCCAATATTACATTCTGAATCAAAACTCTCAGCCGACGTTAAATGTAATTGGTTGATGGAACGTCGATAAGCAATGACCATTTACTCTGTTTTCGATGTAGTTAATCTACTAAAGAATATGTAACGGTTCCCTTGATATACACATACATGTACGTATGCACATGATGCTTATGTACAGGCTTTGACTTTACCAGGAGCGACTGCTATTTCGGACCGTGGTTCCGTTGCCTGGTCTTCGATGGACGCATGCAAAATACGAAAAAACAACATAGAAATCTACTTGTCTATCAGCATCTGCCGAAGGAAAACTCTTTTACTTAGTTGGGGTGCAGGAGTTGCAGCAAATGCTGCGAATCTTTGACATAACCACAGAAAATGGCATCCAAGAAGACTACATGAATTTGAATGCCGATAATAAGCGCGCTCACGTTTCGCGTTTAACGCTCGGCACCACCGTTATATATATATATATAACAAAACATTTCGGACATAATAGGTGCCTGTTCTCACGAAGACCGCCCATATTGGCGCCGAATACGATGGCCTATCTACATCATTGGGACAAGGCAAACTTCTCCTCTTTAACCGTCTTCTTGTTACGGGCGGAGTTATTGTTGCCGCAAATGTCGTATCTATGCATCGCATCATCGTGGTTCCAGCTACAAGACTGATTACACAAGATTGGTCCCAATAGCCGGTCGACCTATCGTTCGTTTACCCCAGCGGAAATCATATTCATTTCTTTATACTCAGAGAAAAGTAGGCAGACTCTTATACTAGTAGTGATACAACCGATCAGTGTTTGCTGCACTTCCCTCTACCTATCTTACTATACATATCTACGCGGGAGACCATAACATATTAATGGTAACAGGAAAATGCGACTGGCGATTCCCGTAAAGATAGTTCTTGTGTTTTGAAACCGTGTAGACAACGTCACAGGTCGACCCTATGCAACAGAAGCAGGAAAGCGGCGGGTCACAACAGGGGAGCAGTCAATTGTAGTGGTGTTCTCTTGGGTGGAGGATGTTTTCAATGCAGGATCGCATATTGCCTCTGTTACAAGTCCGCCATACACCGCTTGGGAAAACTGGCGCTTGACGATGCTGATTTTGTCGCTGATGCTTACGATGATACGATGTTACGAACAGAGCATCCATGATTTCCTCGGCATTGTATACTGATGAGTTTTCCTGTGTGGCCTTAGTGCAGAAACACGCGGGTCGTCAGGATTGGAAACAGGGTGCAGTTGAACTTCCAGTCAAGTTGCGCGTTAAGACCTATAGGCTAATTTCAATGAACACGCCACAGGTGTATACCGTAATGTTGTATATAGTGGTAAGACACTGGATCTACACATCTACCTTGGCATACCATGTTTTCTTTACCAACTAGTTGATGCTATTCGGGGCATGCAAAACAGACACCTGTCTCAAAGCGAACTTTTAACATTCAAGCGTTTAATGAAACGATCAATACATACGATGTGACCGTTCTGCATGTTCTCACAGCATGATATCCACGTACAGCACGTATGTATTCTTCACCTTTGTAAACGCGTTTCGAGTTGGATGGTCTAGTAAACAGGCTGCTTTAGCTTACTAGTAGAATATGGGCGCGAAAATTTTATGTTGTCCTAATTACCTTAAACGATTCGTAGGATTTTTCACGGACACAAGTTAGACGCCATATCTCTTCTACTTTACGCCTTGTCGAAGATAGTACGAACGCTAACTATGTTATACTATCTGAATGGCTTTTGGCCATCTTACTAATTTGGTACAGCTTCACATCATTTCCGATAGAGGATTATTAGAAAAACGTCGCTGCGGTGATCGTGTTTTCTCTTCAAATACGCTTATTCAAAAATTAGTATCATCACTTCAGCAGGAACTTACTGTGTCGTCGTTGTCGATCGATTGGGTTCATGATGGATATCTTCGTTTTCGTCTTCATCCACTGAAAAAAAGAACAAGCACAGATATTTTACTAATGATGCCGAATTTCAATTATTTGATAACTAAGAATAATCGCATACACATGTGAGTCCATCTTTGGCTATAGTCGAGTTACACTAAGCATCATTTGCCACCTGCAGGTTCGGGATCTAACTGGTGGAAGTAAGCTTGAATTCTATTAGGAACTTTGCTGCTACCGCTGCAGCACCATTGAATCGTATCTTCTTTTCGGCCTGCGAGATAACCCAGTATAATGTTAGAGGCCACTACCCCTGCTTCGACATCACCGACAAAACAAAAGGTTGACACAACTGATGCCATAGCCCACAGCCGTGGATGCTGTGTGATGACGCGGACAGCCTGGGCTCTAGCTGCGATCGCCAAATGTAAATTCGATAATCCCATTAGTGGAACACGACTAGGGTACGACTGTCATTGGCAGTCCGCCATTGAATCCGGCTCCTTGCAGTTTTCAATCGGCTATGCAGACATACAAATTGATATCCATATGTACGTGCTGCATAGGTCCGCAAAGGACTCGGACACGGTAGACACTCTAGGGCTCTGGATACTACACACCTTTCGCTGTCGTCCTACTGTCATTTGCACTGCTGAGCGAACCCACTGTAAGTAGCATTACGCGGCAGCAGCCGCAAGCCGTCGCGTAAATAAGTGCTCTCGACCAAACTTAGGAGTCCAACTCGAGCAGAAGCCAGACCTTAGCTAACGTTATATTCGCAGAATCAGATCGAGCGAGCTTACTCGAATGAATGTTCGCCGGCGCTGGGGGGTTGACGCTAAACCTATTAGTATTGGGATTAGAAGCAGGCGATGCCCATTGTCAAAAGGAGGACTCTGGATGCTTGAAGCTAAGGTCTACGAATATTTTGCCCGCTTTGCATCATTGATGTAGTCTCTACCTGCGTCTTCTTGATAATGCGATATGTCAATTGAAATATCATCCTTTTACTGCACAGCTTAATGCACTTACTGACTCATCAATATGAAGTGATCTTTGTCTATTTGTATACTGCATCGTGTGCATGTATTTTTGTACATTTTTCATGTTACCACACAGAGTTGCTTTTGTTGTTGTTGACAGAATATTGTTAGCGAAAGGATAGGAGAAAATCGGCATAATGGGCTTCATTACAGACTTTAAATATCTGCGTTTGTAAACGTTGTAGGTTAACAAATGGCTTTTGGCATCTTCACTCATAACGATCAACAATGCTGTGATACTGACATTCTACGATTGAAAACGTGTTTAATTGTGTTACACAGATTAGGTATAAGTCTAAATCTAGGGCCCCTCGTAGTAAAATACGTGTTTTGTGTTGAAACCGTATTTTTGACTGGTGCATGCTTGCGTCCCGACCAGTTCCATTCCTTAGTTACTAAAGCTCACCATCAGAACTTCCAGAAAAAGAGTGCGATGTAGCTGGATGTTTCGTGCAAACGGCGCACATTAAGCGATACAATGAAACCGTCGAAGTACGCTCATCAGGACACTATTTACTTTTAAGGGCGACATACGGAAATTCGGTACTATTCAACGTCTTATATGACACTAACACGCATAAGCACTCCTGTCCTCGTACATTGCTGCTAAAGCCACCGTTGATGAATATCCAATATGTTAAGTAATACGCCTATACAGACGCACTACGGCAGCACAGCTCACCCAGAGGCCGTCGTCGTGCGTACCGGGAAGACTGAGCCTGGTTAGTGAACGGTGGCAAGCCATAGGTATCCCATTGTTCCAGTCCTGGGAAGTGACCTATGTAGGGTTACGTACTTTTTTGTGGGAACGGACGCGCCACGTTTCTACTCGTCGACGCGAAGGGGATCTCTGAGTATAACGTTGCACCTACATAGTGCCATCGTGTAGTACATATAGAATGTGTATGTGTCCCTCTGTTAGCCTGTGCGAACAAAAGGGCGGCACCGCCGACCGTCCATACCAACGAGAGAAATGCAAGTTGTCGCTTTTGTTGTCGCTGGCCAATAGATATTTCGAAGAGGAAAAGACCCGAGGTAAACCGGTATAACAGAACCGGTAGAACACACGGCTACCAGCCAACGAGGAACGGTGTATCTAATAGCGGGACGGCCAGTCGCAACGTCGATTTAGCTACGGTTGCATGCTTCCTATTTTCTGGTGAAGCGAACTCTAGCTGAGTCTGGCATGGACGCTTTCAGCACAATCTACCATCATCATAGCCATCAGCACAGCACCGACCGCAGCAGCGTTTCTTCTCGTATTTGGTCAGTCACACGCACGCAAGACATACACGTGGACAAATAGCCTTAAAACGGCTGACATATTCAAACACACAAAACACGGTATACTGCAACCATAAAGCGCACCCGGTAGACAAGCGTGCTCTGACGCAGGCAGTCAACAATGCACTAGTAGGCCTGCCACGACCAAAAACACGGCACCGAAGAAGACAGACTTGTCGTGAAAAACATACGCGGTATGTGTCTTTGGCTTGGGGGCTACCTGCAGCAGAAGCAGCATACCTACGGTATTTAGCTGCTGGCTTTCCAGCGGGTGCGCTGCACCCATTTCCAGCGTCTTCTTTCTCACACGTATTTGATGTAGAGGGGTGGGTTAGTAAGGAAACGACTTCTGAGGACGACAACCAGTCGAGGATAGGCAGGAGGCAAAGGTACCAGCAGCAGCGAATACACCCGGAAGTGAGCTGCTGCATACGCAACTCTAGTACATCCGGTGATAACGGAAACGCTTCAAGGGGCACTGAAGCAGCAGAAGCCATTCGGCAGGACAGGGCGTCTCTTGGTCCTAGTATATAGCTGCTGATTCTCCGCTGCGGCCACTGCATGTCGTCCTGTTTTCTGGCTAAGAGTTTGCGCAATTGCAACAAACATTGTCGCTCTTAAAGTTCCTGGTGCTTAGCTAAAGCTGTACTTATCATCAAACTACATCTATACGACTTCTGTTTGCCTGTCAGACAAGGGTGAAGGAGCATAAGAAGTGGCAACAAAGTTGACGACTAGCTGTCGTCTAGAAAAAGTAGGCAACGAGAGCGATTGTTAGCTCAAGAGAACTGGCTTTGTGATACTATAATAACGCATGGTAACATCATTCCGATGATTATTATACCACTGTTTTTGTAAACTAAACTGATAAATTTGTGCTTCGTTTCTAAAAAATATGGATTTACTCATATTACATTAATGAAGAACGTACGTGTATTGCCCCATACCTGCTTTGGGTTGAGCTTGGTCAGGAAACCCATTTTTGGAACTGGAAATAGATTTTTTAAAAATATGCTATTCAGTCGACATCAACGATTATGGTTTTTAGGTTAAACCATCTGGGGGACATATTCTTCTCTAAAATGAATCACATATACCGAGTTTAGTGGCTAAAATAATATCAACTTCAACTTGAAATAGTTATCAATCAACTGAACGTTCACATAAAATAGTGGGTCTTTTAGGTATCGGTTTTCTATGCGTTTCTCGTAAAAGCTTGCAAGTCTCTCAGCGTCTACTCTAGGTTTTCTTAGAGAAAATGTTACGCCTACACTTTCCGCACGCCTCATCTATCACAGTTTTCCCCAAAACCGTTAAGCCTAGCTATGAAATTGCGCCGATACGTTTTCCCGTGTTATACGCAGCTCATCAGTGCAACATTTTCCTACATGCTCATATGTTATGGTGGCCAACTCTCCATCCGATACGGATTCGGGTGAGTCAACGTCGTCTCTGAGTCCCAATGCTGAATCATTTCAGCCCGTAGACCCGTTTGCGTCTTGAGCAAATGAATTCCTACATAGCAACTATTGCCCGAGTCGAGAGAGCATCTGTTTCTTGATATAGCCCTTGCAGAACTAGTGCGTTGAATAACACCTTACTTTGAAAGTTTGTTGGTAGGGGTACGATGACCGATATTTTCCTAAGACAACGGATAGTCGGAAAAGGCCGAGTGAAAACAGGCGCTGTTTCGAAACCGCTGCGACTACGAGGTGGAGTATTGAGGACTGAAGCCAGCGGCAGTCGGAAGAGAACACCGTAGGAACGAAATCAAAATCTGATTGATAATTTGGGAATTAAGTTGGCTAAAAGTGATCCCTTGCCGACATACGTTGGCGAAAAACCCAGCCGAGGATGACTGCAGGGCTCATAAGTTGTGCCAATGGGAGACTACTGAATTCCCCGAAGACCTAGTGAATCCTAGAAGACAGACGCCAGACGTCCGCAGTACGATACCTAGGGACCTGGGGAATAGCGAGAGTCCGTGTAGCGCAGATTTCAATCAACGAAGTGGGCTGGCCAGCTCCTCTTCTACCTTCAAGCCTCTCCTAAGTTATTGTAGAGTTTGGAGCAAATCTGTGGGTAAAGCGAGCAAAACGGAGATCGAGATTAGGTGGCTTGGCCTGGATCAGCGCATTCTGCACTAACGGGACCTTTTTGTGTGTAGTCATCTTGCTGATAGTTGACATCAATCTACCTGAGCTTGCTTCTATGTAGCAAAAGGATTAATACTGCAGTTTCACCGATGGCCGAAGTAGTGACCGTGCAAGACACCGTGCAACACCGGTTAAGGCTAGTATTGGATTCACTGTCTGTTGGCCTGCAGTGAATAAGAGGCTGGTAGCTCTATTTACCTACGCTCAACTGTCATTTGCTCGTCCAAGTCATGCCACCTATTCGTAATGGCAGTGATAAGATATTACCGAGAGTTAAACTATAGTTAATAGATAAACTATCTTTAATACAATTGAGAAGAATTAATAAATCCAAGAATCACTGTCTGTGTTATTTGTGCGTTATAGGGCAAGCAATGTGCTGCTCTTACCTGCTGCTAGCATATTTTCTGGTAGGCCAGCAAGATAACGTTCGTCATTTGCTCAATTAGTCACCATAATTTGGTTTTTGCAGTGACTTCATCGGACCGGTGGTAGAAGGAGCTCTATGACGACTTTGTTTGTTCAGCCTTCCTTATGGTGTTCAACAAACAGCTAGTCG